TTGTTTGTTTAGTATAAAAGTAAAGTAAAGAATCAGCCTATATATGTCCCACTGTTGGGCAAAGGCCTCCTCTATACAGAGGGTATCAGGGCATAGCCAGGGCATAGCACGCGGCCCCACTGCGGATTGGCGGACTTCACATATCTTCGAAATATTATTTTTTTAGTTTCCTGTTTTCCTGTTTTCCTTCACGTGATAATTCGGCACTTAAAATTAACAATTTCATTGGTGCCGGCACCGGGGATTGAACTCAGGTTGCTCGAGTATATTGAATTAAAGGCGAGCGATCACGGCTAGTATAATATATTGCAATGAAACATAATTATGCCTTTCTTGTCACATGGGCGCTTGGAGTCGTGGGTATCATTTGATTGAAGGAAAAGCATTTTTGTGACTCACAGACAACTGAGATTTGTGGTTTGCCGCCAAGGGAGACTTAAAATAAGACGGACTCGCACAGTTTATGTACACAGCTGGCGAAAGCCGACTTAATTAAAACCCAATTGGCGTACATTGTCCTATAAATGAAATTAGTTCAGGTGTATATTAAGGAAATTATTATAGAATAGTTAGAGTTAGACTATAGCGACTGTTACTTGCGTTGGTAATCCAATAAATAAATAAATAGAGTGTGATCTTTTAACCTGAATTCCTGCCAGGTCTCGGATCGAACATTCCATTCCTGGAATGTAAAAGTGAAAAAAATCATTAATAGTATGAAACAACAATTTTAATGATAATTAATGTCTTCTATCAGGAACATGGATCAAGTTCGACGTCTCAAAGAGCATTAAAAGATGTACTCTTAGTATGTCATACTCAAGAGATTAACTTTTGTTATTACGCGAGACGCAATAAGTGAATTTATAGCAAAAACAGCGCTTAACATTAAATCCCCGATGACGCGCTTAGCGAAAACCTCCTTTAGCAAAAAGACGCCTTATTACCCCAACGTATGATGCATATTTGATTGAGCGACTGAAAACGTAAACATTACGGGCGGTGGCTGTACAACGTGTTTATTTACGGGATTATCTTGTACCACGCTTTTGCTTGTATAACGCCCATTTGTGATTTACCGAAGACAACGATTTCATTACAAATGTTATTGCGGTATTTATAAAGGCAAAAATCAAAACAACTATGGAAACAACACAGAGAAACCCTATATATACCCTCATAATAAATGGTTAGACAGGTGACACAGGACATTTTACGGTAGTAGGGCCCCGCAGCAGCCTCGGCCGTTGCACGAATGGGCAGGCTCGTCCGGGTAAGTACCATGACCTCACAGAAGTCCGACGTGAAGTGGAAGTATAAAACTTTCGCGTTTCGTCTGGTGAGTGAGGTGGCCGGAGTCCAATTTTCAAAAGTTTGTCAACGCATCTGCAACCCTCGGGTGTAGCAGATGTCCATGGGCGGCGGTCTTCACTTAACATCAGGTGAAACGTCTGCTCGCTTGGCAACTTTTCACATGTTGTAGTTTGATTCAGCCTCCATCACCGGGAGCAGAGGGAATTGTAAAATATTTCTTACGCAATCTAGATGTTTATGAGAACAGCACAACAACTATGGAAATAACGTAGCTATAGAAACCCTGTATTAACCTATTAATAAATAGTAAGACATATTCTAATCTGCTACACTCCATCTTATCTTGAGCAGACGGAATTGCACAAATTTGTTTTTATAATCGTAGATTATTATAAGATCACGGGACGGTTACCGGCGAGCATGCATGGCTTGCCTTGGGAGTTAGAAGCTAGTTTAGGATTCACCATGTGACCATTTGTGAGCTGACAGGCGTAGAGAGTATTTGGAGTAGATGCTAGACTTCCTCCATGACAGTCTAAGAACTAAACGGACCCTTTGGCTGGAGGCAGCACGGCCTCACTTACAGCTTGACTCAGATGTGTACAAGGGTAGAAAGCTACTTCGGACCTAACTGTGGTAGGGCCACGCAATAATTCGCTGTTGCACGAATGGGCAGCTGCGTCCCGGGAAGTGCCATGACCTCACAGGATACCGGCGTGAAGTGAAAGTGTTATACTTCTGCGTTTCGGTGATTAAGGTTGCCGAGGCCTACTTTATTGAAAGTTGGCAACGTTTCTGCTACCCTACGTGTGTTGCAAATATCCATGGGCAGCTGTTATCACTTAACATCAGGTGGACCGCCAACTCGCTTGCCACCTTCTCCTGTGAGGTTGTGGTTCTTATCAGGACGGACCTGCCCATTCCCTACCAAAGATAATTGCATCACTATGTCATATTTGAGCTGAGTTACTACGGCTCTTAAGTAATATAAAATTTTATTGGAACCAAGTTCCTGAGTAATGAGTGTAGTGCGCACTGATTCTTTGCGAATGAGAGTTTGGCAGGAAAAGGTTTAAGATATTGACCGTTAGGAAATTCCGACAACTTGCTTTAGGAGATATGTTTGTACGCTTACAAGGGTATGTGTAGTGTATATTATTTTTTTTATATTTATTTTTACAATAATGAATTGAGTTTATTTGCTAACTTTATTTTCATTTCATATTGATTCAAGTCAAATGTTGTTAATTTAGTTTTGAATATTGGTGCAATTTAATATTAATATTACATTGCCCTTGCTTTAGGATAACATTATCCTGTATTGTAAGGATGTTTTACAAATATACATTTCACGTAATCTCCGAGTAAATTCCAGAAAGTAAATATAATATGTAATATTATACAGCATAAATAAATAAATACAATGCATAAATAAATAAATAAAGCAAAAATATACACTATATAAAATAAATGTTATTAAAATTTTCGTGACACATTAATAACGGAATAATAAAACGTCTGAATACATTCACTGAGTTTAAGAGAATTTGTAAAATAAAGTTGCATGTAACAATATTGTAATAATTTTGATACACGTGCTGTTCCAATTACAGAGAATTAGCAAGCTGTACACTAGACGGTTTGTAATCAGGGATGTGTAAACGCATATATTCTCTCAACGTTCAATCTTATACAGTCGCGATAAGGTTCAAAACATTTCGCACGGTATCGGGCAGGTGATTTTCACTCTAGCTGAACATACGGCTCCTATATTTCTGGTATTTTGTCCACTTTGTTGCCCTTGAATGCTTCTGGCGAATTTGATGTTCAATTTTAGAAACTGCTCTGTTGATAATGTACGCTACTGCACATGGTACAAAAAGTGTTTAAGGGTTGCACCGGTAAGCGAGATTTGCGAACTTTATCGTGATAGCTCAGAGTCCGAGCGCTCGCCTTTAATTCAGCTAACTCGAGCAACGTGAGGTTTCATCCCAGGTGCCGGCACCAATGAAATTGTTAATTTTAAGTGCTGGCTAATCACATGCTCGGCGGTGAAGGAACACTTCGTGAGGAAACCTGCATATTTTCCTTTTCCCACAAAAACTGTGAATGGAAATATTGTTACTGTGAAAAAAAAATCATTATATTTAAACAAATTTCAACTGAATTCTTTAGGCGATGCTGTAAGATGTAGAATAGTACAGCAGGTTTCTTAGGTGCAGAGATAACTAGTACCATTGCAACTAAAAATGGAATTTTATTCTTTCTGATATTTTTATTTAATGGTTTCTAGGCAATTTACAATATTTTCTGCACAAATATAAAACCTCCACCCGCATCATGAATTGGCAGTTTTTTAATGACCTACTTTTTAGTCGCCTCGGGGAGAGTCTAACTTCTGCTCTATGCCAGTGAAACTTTGGATTTTTAATGCTTATTCTAAAAATATAGAATTTGCTTTAAAATCAGCGTTAGGGGAGAAATACAAAACTTTCGTTTCTAATTTTTCTATGGTGTTAGAAGTGACCTAAGCAAATATTAATATAACAAAAAATGTTTTAGGTTATGTTTTCTGCTTTGTTACCATGACATGTTGTTACAAGGACATGTATTAAGACAAAATAGCCAGTTGGACTCAAAAGAATTTGTACGATCTGCATTATAAGATTGATTAATTTCATAAAATGATGTAAGTGACAAAGATGAAGCTCAAAAGATTCTACTATAAGCGATGTAATAACCTAACTAAAGTATGGAGTATGTCCGCTGAATTGGTTGCAATTGTTAGTCGACTATTTGGGATTCTCCGCTTAAAAAACCGTTTCAGCTGAAACCTTCAACGTGATATCTGAAAGAGGCTTAGGTGACTTTTGATGTAAAATGTGTTGTAATCTGTGCTTATAATTCAGCATTTATATATAAAAAGTGTTTTACTTTGCCTGCTCTCGTCGTTTTCATTTCTTTTCATCTCATGAGAACAAGTGAAAGCATAAAAGACTTTTCAATCTTTAAAGTTCCAATGATAAACTTTGACGTATTATAATATTATATATAAATTATTATCTGCATAAATTATTATCTATAAATTACAAAATAGATACTCATTTCGCTATCATATTATTTACTGTACACTTCATTCCAATGACATAGACCGGACAATATCATGGTCATATTGTTCAGATCAATCTTAAAGTGTCCGCTATGTGCTATATACGTTACAAAAAGCCATTAATTTTTATTTATAATTAAATAATAATAATTTTTTTACTAAGAAACCAAATTTAACATCACGTGCATTCACTTAATAACTTTTAAAAATTCAAAATCTTGGCACTAATTGGAGATGTATACATCTCATACATATACAATCACCCGCAATCGTAAATAAAAATAAAAATCGTTAAAATGCGAATTGAACTCGAACGCCTAGGGTTCCGTACCTACCCTTTATACCGCCATAAAAAAATGGTAAATAATCACCATCGATTTTCTCAGGAACCCGGACCTAGCAAGACGATATTTATACTAGATACTGAGGTTATTAGGCCCTATAATGTGAATAAAAAATCAAGGTCCTGAGTTTCCTCGTGTGAGTGCGTTTCCTTACAAGGGTCCTTTTTTACCCTTTAAGGTATGGAACCCTAAAAAAACACTTCACTGCAACAAAATAATACGTTTCCACTCACCTAAACACAACGCTGGTCTCCTCATCCTCGACACGCGCAACGTCCGTAACGGACCAATGCAGCACCACAGCGGTCCTCTTCTCCAAGGGTCCGCTGACCACTAAGGCGGGCAGGAACCGCATGTACCTCAAGCCCTTCGACTCCCTGAAACCGACCGCAGACCTGGCATCACGGTGGCCGCGGTACCTCGGCCTGAAGTAGTAACCACTGGCACTGTCACCCACTCCTGTCCTGTACACGTAATCCAACGTCCTCTCACTGTACTCGTAGTCCTCTGGACGCGTCGACTTGTAACGCGACCGCTCCCCCGAGTGCTTGGGGATGAAGTAGGGGGGTTCTTCGTCCCGACACGGCCGCTCGGCGAAGCTCGTGGGGGTGAAGTTCCCGCGGATGGAGTCGTCCACGATCGTGTACAGGACGTAGTCCCGGAGAGACGCGTCGGCGAACTGCATGTGTACTGGAACAAAGGGTTCTCCGTTAGATCCTGACGCTAGTATGCGTATTACATTTCAAAGTGACTAATAACTTTTACAATACTTAATAATTCGTTCTCTAAGGCAAAATAATCTGTAATTTTCATTTTTATTTGTTTTTTCTATTTAAAACATTGCCTTTACTTTAGGATAACATTATCCTGTGTTTTTGTTTCATTGGTTGCATGTGAGCTGGCGGGTCACCTGCTGTTAAGTGATAACCGCCGTCCACGAACGCGTTGCCATCTTTTAATCAAGTGGGCCACGGCTACCTCACCAGACGAAACGGAGAGATCTAACGCTTCCACTTCACGCCGGCCTTCTGTGAGGTCGCAGCACTGACCCGGACATGCCCATTTGTGCAACAGCGAAAACTGTTGCGTGACCCTACCACAGTAATGATAACATAAATATAAAAAAGAAATGTTTGCTTGCAAAGCGTTTGTTTTCCCACAATATTCTGAAGTAAAAGACAATGATTTAAAATTCTGACGCCATTCTCCAGTCAATACTACTGACAATTTATAACAAGCTCGCTGTTTGAATTTCAAAAGTGCCGAGAATTAAACCAAATTGGCAGCGAGAAGGATATTACAATATTGTGATACTGTCCTTAGTGTAGGTATCATTTCTTTAATAAAATCGGCCAATGGCGACTCAGACTCGGCACAAAGGGTTCCGTACCATTCATTATCTATAAAAACATTTAAAAAATCACGGCCTTTTTAGGGAGCCGCACTTTAATATTTTTTATTCAGTTTTTTGTATTTGGTGTTATAGCGGCAACAGAAATACATCATCTGTGAAAATTTCAATTGTCTAACTATCATAGTTCATGAGAAACACCCAGGTGACAGACAGACAGCGGAGTCTTAGTCATAGGACCCCTTTTACCCTTTGGGAACCCTAAAAATATTCTATCCCTTACCATTTGTTGTTTTGTAAACTTACATAGTATTAATTGACTTTATAAGGTTTATCCCAATTTCGTTATATATCAAATATTAATGCCTAATAACAGACGTGTTTAAAGTCTGTTTATTGCAGCCCTAATTTTAAGGTGAAGTAATGAAGTATAAACTAGCAAAAAGCTGAGCTTTGGGAGGGCTCGCGTAGTTTTTCTAGCTTGTAATAATTTTAAAATTATTATTTTTGATATGAGTAACAAAATTGTTAATATAACCGTACTAGAAATATAACAAAAGTAGATCTAATAACGTTATTCATGACTCTTCGGGCACTTACAGAAATAGCAAGAACATCATAGCGCTGGTAAAATGTACCCAGAAAATATTTCGGCACCCTTTTTTCCCGAATATCTCACTCTCTGGACCTTTCACGCTATTAAATTATTCACTTCACTAGCCGCCTTATCGTGTATATTTTGCTGTTAGGTAACAATTTTAAAAAATAAAATTCCATATCTATATGTTGTGATGACAGATTGCTGCGACAGACACTGCTTCACTTAAATAATAGTGAAATCAAAAGCATTATCATAAATAAAATCAACGTAAATACGTTATTAAACATTTAATAATTATAAAATTTAAATATTTAATTTTATTAATAAAATAAGCAATGACATGGGTCCGGAAATATAAATAGATCCATGACGCGTTTCCGCTACCGGTAGAACCAAGAACGGATATCTTGTTTATCCAAAAAAAGTCAAGAAAAAACCCTCATTACGGAGCTTTTGATGTCAATTTTATTTATACGGATGTACACATAAAAATAAAACCCTCGATCCATGTCCAAAAATCAGTAGTAATTTATATGTATTTACATCGTATGAAAGGCATATTTTCAACAGTTTGATTTAATAACATATTTTTTTAAATAAACTGTCATGTCTGTTTTTTATTTTTATTTAAAAGATGTTCTATTGTGATCAAATAGTGCACTTCAAAATATGCCTATTACTTAAGACGCAAAAATTTTTATGTTATGCCAATATATTCGGACGAAGATAAGTAACTTTCAAAGTAACAAAGTACTTAAATTTAATTTCTAAGTTAGTTAATAAACAGTTAAATATATTTGATAAACGGCCATGGATACTAAAGACATTTAAATATATTGAATTAAAAAAATAAAGCAATAATGTAAAGCAGAATAAAATAAAAAAAATAAGGAAATAGAATTCAACAATAAATCTGCAAAACAGTGTGAATTACCAATGCACTCGACTGAGCGCTATCTACGATCAGGTACAACAGTATTAATGCGCTAACTAGTGTGTTATTAAGTTAATGCTTACTAATATTATAAACGCGAAAGTTTGTATGTATGGATGGATGTTTGTTACTCTTTCACGCAAATTACTGAATGGATTTTAATGAAACTTTACAATAATATAGCTTACACATCAGAATAAGACATAGGCTATAATTTATATACATATTTTTATGTACATCTGTTTTTCAGTCTGAATGTTACGCCCTCACCCTATTCTATGCAGACGTAATCGCGGGCAGCAGCTAGTGCTCACATAAATATAAGAAATTGTTATCTTGTAAATTTCCCTAAGTATCTCCGGAGCCCAAGATCCAATACCTCCCTGTGGTCTCATGGATCCAATACCAATTGAGAAGATTCATTACCACACGAGAAGCACCAGCTTTAAAATAAGGAAAGAATCATCAAAATGGGTTCACTCAGACGAAAGTTCTGAGGTAACAAACATAAAAAAATGAGTTGAATTACCTCATTTTTGAAATTTATGTGAAACGACAGGCGCGGATTGTTAAAACAAATATCATTGATATATCGAGTAGCGTTCGGTTGAAATTCAATCAATCTAATTGGATGATATACTATGACATTACAAGAGTTCAGGGCTTACATACACACTCGGGATTTTTCATTTCACAATGCGAAAGTGATGTTATCCCCATTTCTGGTATAGAACTGATAACAGTGGAATTAAAAGAAAATATTATAAGGAGAGTAGGACTGCTGTAAATTTTTGTTTTGTTGAAGTTTCATGTTATGTGATTTCGTAGGTAGTTATCAACTGGACACGAGTAATTAGCTGGATATGTTCAAGAGTCCTGCCTCTTTTTAGGGTTCCGTACCCAAAGGTAAAAACGGGACTCTATTACTAAGACCTTGCCGTCTGCCTTTCCCTATGTCACTAGGCTGTATCTACTGAACCGTCATGATCCGAATAGTTATACAGATGAAATTTACACAGATAATGTATTTCTGTTGTCGCTATAATAACAAATAAAAAAATAGAATAAAAATATTTAATTGGGGCTCCCGTACAAATGACATGGTTTTGTTTGTCGTTTTAATAGATAATTGTATGGAAACCATCGTGCGCGAGTCAGACTCGCATTGGGCCGGTTTTTATTACACAAGATCAAGACCAGAAACACTAAATTATAAATGCCGGTCTTATTTTGTTTAGTTAAATACCTTATTTAAAGTTCAATTTAAAATTTCTAAAGTCCGTAATGTTTCATCTTCACATTAAAATTTCTTGATAAAAATAGACGAAAAGTTCCGGATTCGCGGCCAGACGCTTTAACCGCTGATTACTATTGTCACCATAACACCCTCCATCCTTTTAATACATAATATACGAAATCAATATAAAATTACTTACTTTATTTTAATTATCAATATAATTATAAACTTCAGGGTAGAATTCTAAAGTATAATAAGTTTAATAATATAATAATAAATATTTCGGACACATTTTTTACGCAACATTCTCTAGTCCCAAACTAAGCAACGCTTGTACTATGGGTACTAGAAAACTGATAAACATACTTAAACATACTTTTCTTTTGTAAATAAATACATATTATACATATATAAACACCCAGACACGGAAAAAACACGATGTTCATCACACAATATTTTTTCAGTAGGGGGGATCGAACCCACACCCCCTGGCGCAAGAGGCAGGGTCACTACTCCCCACGCCAATCGGGTCGTCAAAGTTTCGTCAGTTTGTTGTTTTAACAAAAGAATAGTATAGTAATAGTTTCTCTACCAAATGAGTATTGTCGGAACGTGTTCGAAATTCAAATAAGACGTCGTATCGGACGAGACAGCACCGTACGAACGTTATGATCATGTCTACATTATCGTTTGCATTCGCAAATTCGATGTCACGCGCAATCGGCATCGTACTACTCGCGTTCCCAACGCTATACATGTACGTAGATTGGCATTGTGCCAGCTTGCATCGCTTCTGAATAAATAGACGTAGACGAAAAGCAACCGCCGTAGCATTGTTCGGGCTGTGCTACTGATGCGAGCAAAACTCGCAAATCTGTAACGGGTTCGCTTTTGTGCGTTTAAAAAACAGTAACGGAAAATATCAAAACTGTTAGCGCTCGCCGTTTGATTTTATAAAAAAAACATTTCAACGCAAAAGTGCCCAGATTTTGATCGCGGATAGGTACATCATAGAAGTCTAGAATTTTTTGGCAACTATGAAGTCATTGCGACGCATTTTAACAGCTTCTGTGCATTTAATAAACCACAATAGAAAATATCACAACTTTTATCGCTGGCCGTCCGCTCGTATAAAAAAATTATTTAAACACAAAAGTAGCCAGATTTCGATCGTGAATACATCATTGCAGTTATAGCTGGAACAGATTTTTTTCCATACTATGACGTCATCGCAACGCGTTTTATCAACACGATGAAGGGAAATGTTCGTGTTAAAATTTCATTAATATAAACGACGTAGCTCCCTCTCGCGAAACGTAATGACAGACCCGCAGCGATGGCTTTTGTATGCTGTACCGCTCTATGATTTAGCTCCATTATGTATGAACGTTATTACGGCAACATATTTATGAACGGTTTTAAAAATAACGTCACTTGTTAACGCATTTTTTTAACTGCCTCATATACACTGATAATCTATATTGATATTTAATAGTATGTTAACAATAAACATAAAAATTTTAGCCTAAATTTCCTAAGTAAAGTCGAAGACTCCGTGGCGC